TGAGTAAAAATACAGATTTCTTGAACATATACATTTTGTTGAATATTGGTTTATTATTTGTTTCGTTTAAACATTTCTGATGCGCCTCCCTTCGACTCCGTTTTAAATCTCAAAAACAACCGCCCTGACTTTCCTTTCCTAGGTAGACCAGTCAATGTGTGCCGTATGAAGAAATCTGATCTCAACTTCGAAATAAATGCATTTTATGACATGCCAAGCCCTCATTGGATTGCGATAGGCAGATTAATGGCACTGCTCCCCCAACACCTGGATCATATAGTTCCATCCAAAGTTAAACTCGTTTTAATTCATGTGAACTGAACGGGAAAAAACACAAGAAACAAGCACTCTCGGAACATGAGAATTCCATAAACATATTAACATAAACATAGAACAACATATATAGATGATATTTGTCCAGACAAATATTTAAAAAAAATAAAGTGTACAAATTCATTAAGATTTGATCAGAAAATCACAGGGTGACTTGACTTAACAGATTCGAACCGTGCATCATCATATAATTTCTTGGTTTCGAAGTAAAAAAAAGATTTTTAATCAGGCGTTCCGATCCCGTGTTCGATGGTGTCAGAAGAATGCACAAAACCGAGAACTCAAATTCATTCCAACAAAATTTCCCCAAATCCGGTATACCACTTGAAACATCTGTACGCGTGAAGTTCTAGCAGAAAATGAAATATTTTCAAAATATGAAATCTTTTCTCAAGTAATTATAAATAGATTAAAGGAACCTTGAACAACTCTGCCTTTTCAATTATCAGATCAAAGCTGGGGGAACACTCTGACTGGTAAACCAAACATAAACATAAATTGTAAATATTGGTCTGATTCAAAGGATGTGTTGAGCGGCTATTTTAACACTACTTTGACTCTCTAAAACCAGCGTTAAAAAGTTTGATGAAAAGTTGAAACACGAGCCAAATTAGTTATTGTTTATTGCCTGTGAGTGAGTATACAAATGGGAGGTTTTACTCAGGCTAGACTTTATATGCATTCTTGAATAACTCTTAGAATAATACGACAAGCGGAGCGGAATTTGCAATAAAGAATATACTGGATTTACAAAGACAGCTACCACGAATACATAGAGATTATCCTATGTGAGGTTCAGGATATTGGGATTATCCCGAGGCAAATAAAATATATTTGCCCGAGGGCCGCAGGTCCCGAGGGAAAATATATTATATTGGCCAAGGAATAATCCCAATATCCTGAACCGACAATAGGATAATATGTTTATCCCATACCAATCTTGGTCATCTGGTTCACATTGTTCATTTGTGGAAATATTTTAGAATATTCATGTCCAGTTTTGTTTTCTTGGCCGTGGGCGGATTTTCATGTTCTTTCAAATATTCCCACATTTATTTTCTCAAATTTTTGTTTGATTAGTGGATGCTCCTTCCCTTTTTAAAACCATCAAACAGATCCCGATTGTCTGTGTTTTCTCTATTGTAGTTTACAGTCATTACGCGAACGTTACAAATTATGAACAAATATGCGAGCGGCGATTGTGACGTAGCGGGCAGATATACTATATCTGCCCGCTCGGAGCGGGACGTAAAGCTATATCTGCCCGCTGATGAAAATATAAGTTTTTACAAACCGGCTTTATGTACCTGTAACACGTCCAAGTATGGGATAAAAAGAAAGATACATCAGATAACTTACATCATTTAATTAATAAACCATACCACATCGGATACCTGTACCATTACTCAATAATAACCACTAGTAAGACCATAATAACAAGCTTAATAACCATTTTATTGCAATTTATTCCATACGATTTTGTCTTGTGAAAATACCACTTGGAAATAGATAAATATCAGAATATACTTCTGTTATAATGGAACCATACCACACTCCTATACAAACCGGCACTATGAAATAGGAGATCACACAAAACCTAAAAAACATGTCAATAGAAAAGTATCTATAGACGCTAAGCCAAAAGTCAATAAATTCACCAGATGTAAATGCTAATCAGTTTAAGTCGAGACAACACAAAGCTACCAAATATTGAGATCCGAACTAAATCTAGTACTCTGCAGTCTCCGAGGCACTGCTTTATTCGTTGTTCTACATATTCTAATTTCTTTACTAAAACATGATGATTGAGATGAGATGACGATTGTTGACACACTTGTTGAAGATATTGCCACTAAACTTAAAACTTGGCTATATAAATACATGTACTGTGCCAGAATTAAAATAAATTATAGCTATGAAATGTCAGAAGAAACTGGAAAATGCAATGGGCGTAGCTTTGCCTGATGCTACCCTTTGCATTCGATTGACTTCACTTCTTAAAAGAGAGCTTCGTCTTCAACTAGACTCTGCACGCAGGGTAGCCTGATGAAAATGCATCACCAAAATCTTACAAAAATATGTTTTAAAACATTTTTTCAACTTGAACTGCACAAACGAAGTTGAAATAATGTAATATTCCTTTACCCTACATTTCCTACCCCGATGCACTTATAATATTACAAACAGTACATAACATTCAAATATCATCATGACGATGTTTATTTTCGTTTAGTGCTATGTACTCTTTTGTAACTAAACATTTATTACAACATGTGTTAATGTTCATCTTTTTTAAACAAATTTAATATTAATTATGATTTAAGTGTGCTTTCATAAACATTTTCGACATATTTATTCTACTGATGGTAACACAAAACATGTCCATCGGCAGAAGTTAAAGTTTGAATTACAGGCTCAACATAGCTTTCCATGTATGCAACTCAGAAATTGAAATTTCCACGTCTTACGCGAGCAAGAAAAAATTGTTTCAATTTTAAAATAGTTTTGGCTCATATCATTCCTTGTCATGTCTTTTCTCGAAAGATCTCAATAGTAAACACTTAGGAAAGCTAAAGATTTTTACGATAATGTATTGTTTTTTATTTTTGTGATTAACATTTTTATTATTTGTGAGAATTTTAACATCTTCCCCAACATTCTGCACTTTGAATCTTAAATAACTTCACATATCAGATCTTTTGGGAGATATTATATTTGAGCTTGGAAGGGGTATTGCATGGTAGCAATTATATTGTTTGCAATCGTGTCACCCCCTATAGATCTCATTTAGTTATATAGTAAAATAAGTGATTACATGCCCATCAATAAATTGCGCGTTAATCGTGTATGCAAGACGTGTTTTGCTTCTTCATAAAGTCACTTGTATAAACACATTAGTTCCGAAATGCAATACAACATTTTTCATTCAATTTACAGCCGCACTAGCACTTTACTTATAATTGATCGAAAATGCAATAAACTAAAGTTGAACGATTGTTCTTTCAACATAAGTGTCTCTTCCCATCGACGAGTTATTGGCTCGGAGTGCGGACCGACACGTCGCTGATCCCGAACGGTCGCTGTCAACAGGCAAATATATCAAATTATCGCCCACTTTGTGGTATCCGATTTCACATTCAATTCGTATCTCACAAACCGACCTCCCTTTCTTTTCTGTTTTGTTTTATGTTCAATAATAAAGTAAGAAATATATACATAATGTATGATTAACTCTCAGGGTATAGGTTGTTTTTGAATATTTCTATTATGAAAAATATAACTGAAACGTCTACTTAAAGGTGGTGTTCACTATTCGGTGACAAAACACAAAATAGCCCAGTTTTGCAGAGCATATTATAAGTATTTATACATTTACTTGCTTTTAAAAATGGTGTGATATTGAGAGAGTTTAAAGAAATGAATGACATAAATGCAAGAGCTCCGAAATTCTACAATAAGGTGTCTAAAATTTACCTTTTCTGCCCATTTAGTTGGTATAGTTTTGTAAATCAGCCGTTCGTATTTTGTGTGTGCCACCTATTGTTCAATGTCCCCGTTTTACGAATTATCCTTAATTACAAAAGTTTATTTATATTTTAGTAGGTCTTTTAATTGCTGTTTTGTTTTTCAATACGTTTTTCAACACCATACGTGTACAAACAATACTACAAACTAGAGTGTCAATACACAGTAGGCACGCAAAAGTAATGATAAGTTTAGAAGATAGGATGAAAAGTGAATACAACTGCTTGAGATTTCAAAGTAACGAACACACAAAAACGCGAGACTTTGTAATAAATTGTTTCATGTATAGATTCTCAGATACCTGGCGACAACCAACTGGCTGGGAGTGCGTATTTGCCTGGCTTTCCTGCAACTTCTAGCGCTATCAGCGCCGAATCTGACGCGCCCTATGATTGATCACCATGGCAACGCAATCGTAATGAAGTTATCTCGCGTGCTGCATCTAAACTGACAAATTCTCGCAGCTGTACGTCGTGCTGTCAGAAAGTTTATTTAAGCTCAGGTTGAAGTACAATAATGTAAAATAACAGGAGAGAAGATACAGAAGTATCTATTTCCCCGGGCCTGTTTGGTTCACTCTTATCTGTAATTAGATTTATTGCTTTGCTCTGTGTAAAAACACACGCCGTTTTCTCATAGCATTTCGTTTGAAAAAAAACGTTTACTTTACGTGGATGTTTTAGTGACGCAATGAAGATCAATGCGGATGATGTCGAAATTCTTTTTCTTGAAAAACGACTTTGGTCTCCTTTTACGAAAAGTTTGGTCCACTTTTTGAAAAATAAAGCCTTCTTTTTAAGAATCTCAAAAGAGGCATCTGAAATGAGGCTTAAAGGTACTTTAATTTTTATTGTTCTTCATTGCAATCTATCAGAGATTTTTGAACAAACAATCGAGTACACTGAGTTTTATACCATCTTTAGAAAGTACCGGAACCCATACATTTTTAAATACACTATGATGTGAGCTGCCATCTTTTAATATAGATTTACCAGAAATCCATGTCAAGAGGTGTTTTCATAAAACTATTGATTTAAATATCCATAATAAACACATGGAATGTTCTCATATATAAAACTCGCATATAAGTTAAAAATACAACCTATATTGCTATTTATCAAACTTATTGTTATAGTGCATGCAATGGCATCTGGATTTGTGGTCTTAGCTTGTTTGTTGTCATGGCTACAGAGAACTGGTGGTAAGTATTAGTTGTAGTTGAGTGGTAGCGTTTAATTTGTATACACTTACCTTACGAAAAAAGTATAGATGATCAACAAAGTAATAAACATTGTTTAATGATGTTATGACTATGTATTCAACAACGTTCAAATTCAGTCAAGAATTTCAAAAAAAGAAAATGATCGTTGAACATTACTCGAGTCTCGAGTTAATGCTTTTGTCTTTTAAACTTGAAACCTGCCTCAATCGAAATAATAAAAGAAGACGGACTATGATGAATCAAAGTTAAATCACTGTTGGTTACACATTATAATCCCAAAAATTATATCTTTGCATTGACTGGAAAATATACCTTATTTTAGGACAGTGTCAGTTTTGTGGGGATCTAGACACAGTGCCAAGCGGGTATGTAGAAAAGAATGAAAATGGGTTGAATTTGAAATAAATAGCGTATTACTGGTTTCGATATGAAGGCTAAGATGCTAATGTCATTTAATTTTAATGAATCAAAATAACAAAAAAATGCTGAGAACGACGTGCTGTGACGTATTAGTGAGCCCCTCTTTCTAGTGAACACCCATGTCTAGTGAACACCTCTTCTCACCACATACAAGGGCCGATCAAAAAGTTTCTTACCGTTGGCTCTAGATTTTATAAGGAAGTTAGCGCAACACATTTTGGATGCTCAAACTTTTACATAATACAGGGTGGTAAGTTTGCTTGAGACTGTCTGAGTTTCATTTAAATTGGTTCATTGGTAGTGACACAGAGTCAATACATATTTACAATGATTGAATTAGGTGGAGCAGCGTTTTTTATAAAAAATTGTGCTAAGCTGCAGTTTTGGAAAGAAGGAGGGAAGTTAGCGCAACACATTTTGGACAGTCATATGTCTGATTTCGGCCATTTCTTGGGGATTTAAACAGGTGCATATGTTAGGCGAATGTTTTACCTCCAGGAAAATCACTTCTAAAGATGATAAAATAATTTCGACTTTGAGACAGGGTAGATGCAAACAACCCACCCACATGTTTTTTCTGAAATGTTTTCCTGATTTTCAACCCCTTCCATCCTTGCTTTTTTAATTTTTCTTGCATCAATATGTTGCGTTTTGACACATAGTTAATCCCTTAAAAGGAATAAATAATTCCATTTAGATAAAGTGGAAAACAATATTTCCCATGTTATTTTCCCATAGGAAAAATCATTGCTTTCAGCTAAGTTTGGTCACCCATAATGGGTATCTTTAAAACCCCTGAAGGAATCACTTATTCCTTTAAAGTGGTTAACTATGTGTCAAAATGCAACATATTGATGCAAGAAAAATTGAAAAAGCAGGGATGGAAGGGTCGAAAATAAGGAAAACATTTCAGAAAAACCATGTGGGTGGGTTGTTTGCATCTACCCTGTCTTTAAGTCGAAATTATTTTATCATCTCTAGATGTTATTTTCCTGGAGGTAATGCATTGGCCTAACATATGCAATTGTTTAAATCCTCAGAAAAATGGCCAAAATCCAACATATGACTGTCCAAAATCTGTTGCGCTAATTTCCCTCCTCCTTTCTAACACTAAGTAGTGTCATCTGTCAACAGACTGTAGTTTAGTCATGTTTATTAGTTTTTCTGCTAATATTCATTCTCATTCAACCCCAGTTGCAATGCACTTCCTATATCTGTCAACTCGATCCAAAAACACATGTTTAAGGCCTTTGTATAAGAGGGTTGAAACGATGTCGGTAAATTTCCAGAACCACAACTCAGCAGATATTTTATATATAACGCTGCTCCACCTAACTTAGTCATTGAAAATGTGTATTGAATCTGTGTCACAACCAATGAACCAATTTATATGAAACTCGTGCAGTTTCAAGCAAACTAACTATCCTGTCTCATGTTAAAGTTTGAGCTTCCAACTCCTCTTATTATAAAATCTAGAGCCAACGGTAAGAAACTTTTTGATCGGCCCTTGTACTTCACTTATCTCTGTATAAAATTGCCTCTCTGTAGTGAACGCCTAAATACACTAAACAGATTCTATGTATTCAGGTTTAACTAATATTTGACACCCTGCACTAAGTCAAATGTACAGGGTGTTCAACAAATAATGACATATACATGTAGAGAACACCCTGTACAACGACAACTGGTCTGCAGCGATGAGTTAAAACACTAATATACAAAGCGCTGTTTTACTTATATTTAGGTACAGTGAGTATCTATATGCTCCAAGTCAGGCGCATATTGAAAATCCAGAGAGGGGGTTTATGTATGAAATCGACACAAAATCATCAAGCCATACTCCACTATCAGTAGGTTATGTATATGATAATCCATTGCACTTGATATCGTATTGATCTATACGTATACGATTCATTACTCGCATATGATATCGTATTGATTAATTTTTACGAAAATGATGCATCACTCGCACATTATATCCCGTGATATATCACTTGCTTATGATATCGTATTGATTATACGTAAATGATACACCACTCGCACATGATATCCCGTATATGATACATCACTCGCTTATGACATTAGTATTGACTATACGTAACCACTCGCACATGATAACCCGTATTTGATATACGGTATCACTTGCTTATGATATCGTATTGATTATACGTAAATGATACACCACTCGCACATGATATCCCGTATATGATACATCACTCGCTTATGACATTAGTATTGACTATACGTAACCACTCGCACATGATAACCCGTATTTGATATATCACTCGCTTATGATATCGTATTGATTATACGTAAATGATACACCACTCGCACATGATATCCCGTATATGATACATCACTCGCTTATGACATTAGTATTGACTATACGTAACCACTCGCACATGATAACCCGTATTTGATATATCACTCGCTTATGATATCGTATTGATTATACGTAAATGATACACCACTCGCACATGATATCCCGTATATGATACATCACTCGCTTATGACATTAGTATTGACTATACGTAACCACTCGCACATGATAACCCGTATTTGATATACGGTATCACTTGCTTATGATATCGTATTGATTATACGTAAATGATACACCACTCGCACATGATATCCCGTATATGATACATCACTCGCTTATGACATTAGTATTGACTATACGTAACCACTCGCACATGATAACCCGTATTTGATATATCACTCGCTTATGATATCGTATTGATTATACGTAAATGATACACCACTCGCACATGATATCCCGTATATGATACATCACTCGCTTATGACATTAGTATTGACTATACGTAACCACTCGCACATGATAACCCGTATTTGATATATCACTCGCTTATGATATCGTATTGATTATACGTAAATGATACACCACTCGCACATGATATCCCGTATATGATACATCACTCGCTTATGACATTAGTATTGACTATACGTAACCACTCGCACATGATAACCCGTATTTGATATATCACTCGCTTATGATATCGTATTGATTATACGTAAATGATACACCACTCGCACATGATATCCCGTATATGATACATCACTCGCTTATGACATTAGTATTGACTATACGTAACCACTCGCACATGATAACCCGTATTTGATATATCACTCGCTTATGATATCGTATTGATTATACGTAAATGATACACCACTCGCACATGATATCCCGTATATGATACATCACTCGCTTATGACATTAGTATTGACTATACGTAACCACTCGCACATGATAACCCGTATTTGATATATCACTCGCTTATGATATCGTATTGATTATACGTAAATGATACACCACTCGCACATGATATCCCGTATATGATACATCACTCGCTTATGACATTAGTATTGACTATACGTAACCACTCGCACATGATAACCCGTATTTGATATATCACTCGCTTATGATATCGTATTGATTTGTATCTCATACTTAAGTGGGTAATGGGTAGATATCACCCGGGAATATATATCATATCTGAGGAGCGGGCAGGATATATTGCATATGTCCCGCACTAGGCCGGCCAAATGCGGGGAAATATAAAATATCCATCCCGCTCCAGTGAATTTTTCAAAATTCTTAAGAAGTTTAAAGATTTAAAAGTTTTAAATATTTTAAAAAGTTTAAGTGTTACAATTTCATTGTATTGAAGTAAAGGAATATTACAAAAATGTTAAATATAAATTGTGCTTTTACAGTATATAGGCCTATCTTGTCATTTGAAAAAGGTGGAACCCCAACCCGTCTCATGTCTGAGATGCACCACCAGTTATGTACGGTCGGTTTTGGATATAGCGTATATCCCTCGGGAAATATTTATTTATCCCATACTTGGACGTGTTACAGGTACATAAAGCCAGTTTGTAAAAACTTATATTTTCATCAGCGGGCAGATATAGCTTTACGTCCCGCTCCGAGCGGGCAGATATAGTATATCTGCCCGCTACGTCATAATCGCCGCTCGCATTTGGTTCATAATTTGTAACGTTCGCGTAATGACTGTAAACGACACTGGACAAAACACAGACAATCGGGATCTGTTTGATGGTTTTAAAAAGGGAAGGAGCATCCACTTAATCAATCAAAAATTCGAGAAAATAAATGTGGGAATATTTGAGAGAACAGAAAAATCCGCCCACGGCCAAGAAATCAAAACTGGACATGAATATTCTAAAATATTTCCACAATTGAACAATGTGAACCAGATGACCAAGATTGGTATGGGATAAACATATTATCCTATAGTCGGTTCAGGATATTGTGATTATCCCTTGGCCAATATAATATATTTTCCCTCGGGACCTGCGGCCCTCAGGCAAATATATTATATTTGCCTCGGGATAATCCCAATATCCTGGACCTCATATAGGATTATCTCTATATCTCCCCTTGGTCCCTTCGATCCATCGAGGAAATATAAATATATCCCTCATGATATACCCTATATCCAAAACCTCCCAGTACATAACCCTTATATATACGTAAATGATACATCACTCGCACATGTTATCCTATGGTCACTTGGTATAAGCTCTGTTCACTTGGAGCCTGCTTTATTCAATTGTGACTAACTTTCTATGTCACCATCAAAAGTGATGAGATATTGTTATGTCTTCATTTTTTGTGACGGCGGTTGGTGGTTGGCGTCCGGCGTCTGTAACAAATTCTAAAAACTTTCCATAACTTAACAAATATTCAGAAGCGTAGGAAGGTGTAAATTCAACACTACGCCAAAAATTGTCTCAAATCTTTAATATCAAAACGCCTATTTTATGCTCGTAAAACGTAATTTTTATGGTAATACAATACCTTTCTATTGCGCTTAAAATGTTTATCATATAAAATCACCATGAAAAGCCAAAATTTTAGATCTCGACAATACAGACTAAAGAAACTAAGTAAAAGAGACCGACTTGGGCAAGGCTATCAATGATACAACTAACTCTAATATCTGCAACCTTATTCGCAAGACCAAATAAACCCCCTTAACAAAGGTCAGGGTGTCATTTTGATAAATTGTTAATTGCCTTTCAAAATAATAATTGGTGCCTAAATGCTTTATTTCCTAAAATAATAATCTATTATCTTTCGAATGAAATAAAAAATTAGGGTAATTGCTTTCCTAGAACTGAAGTTGTATTTTCATAGATACCAGGCATCACGAAAACTCATTGAAATCAATGGAATGCTAAACTGAATAATCAACAATTTCAAATTCAACTTGTTTTTGTCTTTAACATTCATATTCCAAGAAGTACTACAAATAACAATTATAACAATTAGTGATTTAGTAAGATAATAGATAAATGCTGACTTACCGTCATTTCAATATAATTTCGGTCCATGATTTTCACTAGCAACCACATAGCAAAGGAATATAAATTGAATAAGTGACATTGAAAAATCGGGGGTAGGGGAAAAAAATCTTAAATTGGGAGAGGTTTATCATTATGATTCTGGTACCACAGTTTACATTATGGAACATGCACAAAAATTGACTAAAATCGATTTTCATGAAATAAAGCATGTTGGAAAGCGAATTCAATCTGTTAAATCAGAACTATCTACCCAACATAGTATGAATGATTAATTATTTTCTATAGTATTAGAAACAATGTAACTATAAATATTTTACGAATTTCAATTTTTTGGCTTAAACTTCCGACTATAGTAACTTTGCCCCTATACCCCAAATCACCTTGATTTTTACGCCAAAACGTGCTTTATACAAAAGTACTATTGAACAAATCGAACATACCTGTATTACATGGTGTCCAAAACATTTCTTTAGTGTGCTCGAGATCCTAAACTTGGCAATCTATTAACAATGATCGAGGAGTTATGACTTAAAAACATAGGGAGATTAAAAAGCCTTTTTATTCTAGCTTTTCAACACTACGCATTGACGTTTTGGCGTACATTGTTCCTACGTCATTGAATATTGTTTAGATTGACTTCAATTTTTTCAATGTCATCTACAAGTTCTCAAAAGGTCAAATCTGACTTTGGATTTGAGATTTGACCTTCAATGACCTTCTCAATATCAAAAAGCTCAAAAGGTATTTTTCAACTTGCTTCAAATTGACCATTTTTCAAAAATCATCTACAAGATCTTGAAAATTCAAATCTGATTTTTAAATTTAAGACTTGACCTTCACTAACCTTCTCAAGGTAAAAAGGTCAAAAAGGTATTTTTCAACTTGCCTGAAATTGACACTTTTTTCAAAATCAGGAGTTCAAATCTGACTTAAGATTGAACTCATGATATTGCCGAAGTGGTGACATTATGTCATGTTAATGCCTTATCTACATTTGTCCCAATCTCTCTTCATCAATGTTTCCTTTGATGAGCCAGTCTTGAGCAATCGGTGTCGGCCTTGCTCAATTTGCACTACCTATAGCTTAACTCAAGGGAATCAATCCATGTACAGTTCGTACTAGATTTTCTCAATTCCGGGCCAGCCTTGATCAACCAGAATGTTGGCAATGGAAGAAAGAATCCTATCAAATAAATCGAGTTCTTTAAATAGTAATTGTAAGAAGATGAATATCAGAACCCAAATAAAAACAGGAGAAGATGGAGACACTATCAAACGAAAAACTTAAATGCATCCCAACAGCTGTGCAAAATATGTACATTCTCAGGATGGAGTGATACTGTAACATGAAGCACCATCCAGGATGTCAACAAATGGCGTGATTGGCACTTCTGGTGATGTCCTAGACAACTGCTTTTGTATATAATTTCCCTTCTCATTTTGAAATCGTAATGGATGGCACAGTGGTGCAGTGGAACCCCCGGGGGAGAACATGGGCTAACCAGGGGGTTTCTGCTGTATCAATACTTTCCGCTTGTCTTTGTATTTTTATAAATCTTTATTTTTATTACATCTATTATATACTGTAATAATATATTATTTCCATGATTGGAGGGGCAATAAATTAAATGATACAAATACACAGAGTCAGGCATATTATTTAGGTGTCTAGGCTGAATACGCTAAGAGCCGATTATGGAATCACATGGATAAACCGCCAATGGGTGATGGATTTATTTAGAGAGAGCCCTCTATCGGCAGAGTTCATACAACAAGTTAGAACGGACCTTGATTTCATTCGAAATGCTGGCATGACTGTGATACCAAGATTCCATTATATCGACACACAGGTGAGACACTACGGTGTTTGGTGACCGGAAGTTTGTAGCTCAGCGCCCCCTATTGAGACGCAACGTCGGGGCACATTCAACGAATGTAAATGTATATGTTTTACGATTCATTAGATGCTAATAATCATAATAGTGGTATTTATGATGAATTCAACGATTAAAAGCTAATTTATACTAGTAACATGCATAAGAGGTGAGAGGTCGACAAATTAAAATTCCGCAAATTATGTTTTCCAGGGCCTTTCGGCAATTGTAATGCGCGGCAATTTACTGACGTCTATGGTACTTATGAACTTGAGAATTAATCAATGAAAGACAGTTATGATGAAACCAATGGAAGACAATATAGTAATAAAGCACGGATTAAGATACCATTGATACTTATTTTAAAAAAGTGAGTTATATATGTGCAAGCCCCTCTTTATCATTTTTAATTCTTCATTTTAGAGACCCAGCGCCCCCTATGGAGACGCGACAAAACCTGTAATGTTGGGGCATATTCAACAGCTGGCCCCAGTGTTTTCAGACTATGCTGATGTGATTGCGGTGATGAATTCTGGTTTCATTGGAACATGGGGTACTAGCCCACTTTTTAGTATCTTAAGGGATATAAGGGCGTTTTTGTCGAGAATGGCTGTAGTCTTTAAATATGTTTTATCTTCTTCTTGCTATATTTTGTAACATTTTCAAGTTTTTTCCATTTGGCACTTGTTCATTTTTATCAAAATGGGATCGCATAAATTATGTTTGTCCCCTTCTTTATGATAGTTAAGGCCACGACATCGCGGTAACCTACCTTTTAATTTAGGACTTCTGCAACTCGTTGTTATCAAAATATCAATAGAAACTTTAACACTTAAAATTGCATACTTCATTTCGTTGTTTTTAGATAACAGCGACATCATTTATAGGGTTTATAGACATTAGGATCGCATACTATTCCTTTTTCTACATTCAATTTGAACGGTAGGTATATTGAGTCTAAAATGTTGAAATATCTTTTACATTACACAGGTGAATGGTACTATACAACACACTTTGGGGACCCGCAGTTTAGAGACTGGAGTGCACCGGGAAACATACGCGGATATCCCCCGGAAATGTTCGTTGAAAGAGCAGATATTTTAGAAGCATTGTTAGCTGCTGTCCCGTCACACATGTAAGTTGCAATACTCTTGACTTAGCTTTTTTTCGCGAATGCAACTTTCGGTTGTCGGCACCAGTTAAACCTACTGACCAACTTATTAAAGCATGAATGGAATAGTCGCAGGTAAGTAAAATGAGTCACACTTAAAAGTAAGTTAATCCGGTAGCCGAAAGCCGTTAGTTGCATTCGCGAATACAAGCGCATATCGTCTTCCTCTCTCAGTCTCCTAGCATTTCGTTCAGTGCAATCCTGAAACGAACGAAACTGCTTTTGGAGACATATGAACTCTCCATTTTTCATGTACTGTTGATTCACGTGACTGGTTATATATAAATAAATGAATTACTTTTTCCTATGTAGACAAGTCCAACTCAGGTATCCTTGGCAAAAGCGGGTCATGTATCTCGATGAAACGCCCGTCTCCCGAGAGGACGCATACAACCGAACACTGAAAGGCAGAACAGGTGAATGTTGCATTACTTCTCAAATGTTATAGGCCTAAAGTACCCATCCAACATCAATGGAAAATCCAATACCCGGAGATTTCGGCGGGTAGTTTTGTTTCGTTAAGGATTGGCTCTTCAAATATAGGCATTTTATGTACTGTATGCTTGGAATACAATATGATTCTGGTGATCTAAATGAAAGAGTCAGAACAGTCATCAATTGCATAATGACCTCCACCACTGTATCTTTATAAAGACCTACACACCCCTCCTTTAACACACAAGCCTATGGGGGAAAAGGTTGCCAGACTTATGGAGGGGTGTTTACCCTTTACAAATGTAATACATATTATGGTACATGTAGGTCACCTAAACGACGCTTTCCTTGCAAGCGACACTGACATGGGAACAATCATAGATCCCAACGTCGACTATCCTTACCTGAATGCGGAGACGCGCTATCTGGCACAGGGTGGAGAATGCAATCAAGTTAGCACTAATCCACCTGGAAGGTAACCTACATTCGGGGTCTTAAATGTCCTTCTCGTAGGCTACTAATCAGGAAACATTTATGAAAACGTCAATGTTTGATTTCTTTCTTTGGAGCATGCAGAATAATAATCTGAGAATAAATTATTTATTTTTTTATCAAATGTTATTCTTCGTTTCAATCTACTAGTATAGTAACATTTGTCAAACTACATATTTTTGATTAGTTGACACGCATGCGCACTAATACGTAACCCCAGTTTATCTATAGCCTATATATAAGCTTATATGTATATCTCGGTATCGTAACTATTCATGTTCATTTAACTTTCATTCATTCGATCAAAAGGTCTGAGTGTCCCACTGCAACGTCAGAAATGGCGTACTTCCACTATGATTTCCTCAACCGAGCCTACAGACAAGATGTTATAGACCTGTGGATTCTTGGGGGTTGTTACGGCGATATACATAGAAATCTTGGTTACAGATTTTTGCTGGAAAGGGTAAAATAGCACATATAATGCCTTTGTCACATTTGCTCCGATTTTCACTACGGCGCCCGGCCGATTGAGTATTTTGTTCAAAATTGAATACAATATTGAACAAAACACTCAATCGGCCGGGCGCCGGCCGATGGATCGGAGCATATGTGACCAAGGCATTAGCACACGTATCTATTAAAACTGTGACAGGAGTTCTCATAAATAGTGCTAGGTGTACTTTGTTCTTCAGTTTTATTATAGAGCGTGGAAATAATGGAAAAGAACAATCGAAAATGGTAAATGCTTTAATCGTTTAAAGCAAATGGTTTTCTAATAATGTCCCAGTCTTTGCTCTACGGTGGTCTTAGTTACAGAGTCAATGGTCCTGCGGGCGCAGAGGATCTAAATCGGGCGAGCACCAAGTTACTACTCATTTAATGCCTGGGTCACATTTGCACCGATTCATCGGCCGGCGCCCGGCCGATTGAGTGTTTTGTTCAATATTTTATTCAATTTTGAACAAAATACTCAATCGGCCGGGCGCCGTGGTGAAAACGGAGCAAATGTGACCAAGGCATAAATGACGTGCCGCGAGGAAATTTAGCCTTTATTAGTGTAAAGTGAAAAAAAAACAATCTTATTTTGTGTTATCTGAATTTTTCAGAGTGTTATTCCGGACAGAGTTGCCAAAGGTGGGAGGTTTTGTTTTCGTCTCGAGCTTAGGAACACCGGGTGGTCGACCCCTTTCAATGAGAAAACAATGGCGTTCTATTTAAGAGACGCAGCGTGAGTTTAATTCAATTATTAGTACTATAATATTAGTTAAATTATGAAGCATAGCCTATTTCACTGCAATGTAAGCGTCTCATTTTTCACCCATTATACACGACCTTACCTCAATGTCAGTATTTGAGTAAACTGATATGGCTATAGCTGAACAAAAAAGACAGTATACGTATGGAAACTATAACTATTTGATGCTTCAGAGGAACATTGTATCGCGCTGTCATCCCTGATATCGAGGTACGTGACTGGCAGACGGAAGTAGGGCCAATTGTGATAGAAGGAACTCTTGGCATTCCAGAAAGCTTCCCCGATGGCGTATATGAGGTAGAAAACTCTTTTCAAGAGTGTAGCAAGGGATGAGGCAATTATTTTCTGATTTGTAATGTCCCCCCCCCTCCTTGTTAGCTTCTGGATTCGCCAGTGTTTCGCCTCGAGTTTTAGATCCTTGAAACGCCCCTACTTGTTCTCCTGAGATTTGGCTTAGATAGGCCACAAACTTCGAAAAAACGTATCAACGAGTATGTCCAAGACATTAGATATAGCGGAACAAATGTAGTACATTATGTAAGTATTCATCAATCCCGTTCTCTTGGTAAGCATTAATGCCTGCAAAATAGAGAGATTTCACAACTCACTTATAGCATGTTTATTATTCCAGTATAACGTATAACTTATGAAGCTTTTGATTACGTCATCATTTATTGCGCAGCTCTTTATGTCCATAAGTGTGATATTCTTATAGATCGTCGTCTATCAAATTTATGGACATCAAATTAAGCATATTGATATTGCGACATCTACAAATAATATTCTTACTACAATTATTTGAACTTTCAGAAAGCCCCCCCACGTAAAACGAAGTAAAAAAAGAATTGCGAAAATATCATTAACAATTCCATTTTTATGTTTTTGACCAATGTAGAGGTCGTTCAATAAGTACTGATAAAAAGGTTGTTAGTGGTGGATCAGGTCTGCATGAAAAATGTTTCAAAATGACTTAAAATGTGAATATTGCCCCATAGTCAATTGATTGATTGCAATTGCTTGAGCACCAACTTGTCACACATCAATTTTATTTCTAAATCATTATGAATAACATGGTTTTCACGACCAATACTTGAATCAGTAATGTCTGCAATTTTTCTGATAGGAATTCATCGGATATTATTTTATCGTATTAATCTGACTAGGGGGAGTTACAGCTTTTGGTCACCTCTGTCTCAATTCATCTTCAACTGATGACTGTCTCTCTCTGAAATAGCGGAATCGACGATATAAGATAGACATACATGTAGTGTCCTTCCCAAGCCTCATATGTCCTTTATTGTATACTGTTTTGATTTACCTAAGGATATATAGAACTTGATGCTGCTTCTAATTTGATGGTGAATATTATTGATATTCTGTTCACCAGCCATGTTGTCGATGGCATAATTTCTGCAGAGTTCATGTGATGTATTGTAAAATTGTAAAATGCAGGTTTACCATGCATGTAACTGTACTGTAATTGTTTTTTTTGCAATTGCTTTAACATGCTTATTCTTTGAAATAAAAAAATTATAAAAAAATGAGTTCATGTGATGTTCTCAATGATGTCGTATGTCACCTGATCGATCTTAAATTGCTCTGTGGTATAATTGTATTCTTATGGATTGCTCATTGATGTCATTTCCAACTTACAATTTGTTCGAATTCGTTGATGTCATCAATAGGTGTTGCGAAGGTATCTTAGTATTACTGTTTATTAATCAACTATCAAAATGGATTCAAAAATAAAATTATTTATGAAACTGTTCACATTTTAAGTCGGTTATTTTCAAATTTTTTCGTGCAGACCTGAACCACCACGAACCACCTTAGGCTCGACCCAGTACTACCTTCCTGTAATAGTACATTCTTTTAACTCCAACAGTACATCAGTTCAATACTCAACAATGTTAAGTAGAAAAGGAAGTCGGAAATATAAAAAGTTAAAAAAAGTTATAGCATTTTTATCAGTACTTATTGAACGCCCTGTATTTTACCATAATGTGTACATGTATACAATTACAAAAAGTCACACTCCCAGCAAAATATTTTTTCTCGACAAATATGCATAAATATACCATCTTCTACCAAGAACAACAAGATAAAATTCTAAAAGAAGTCCGTAATAAATACTGAACATTTCTATTATATAATTGTTGCTATCTGTTCATAGGAATTACATAAGAACCCAATCATAGGGATTTACATTTAATGTAATTCATTTAAGGTGCTCCTTGGAATGTATAACCCTAGGCGGAGTTGGGATTCCAATCAGTACATCTTGTTTGCGAATAGCGATGTACCAGAATTTCAAACAGGATTTAACAATCTTGGGCATATTCTAACGGTAAGTGACATTGCAGATAAAGATACTCGACAGTTTTTTGATGACTCCCTATTAATTACTGTCACACTCCGTTGTATTATGTCACCACCAGAGGTGGTAACATATTTTTATTGTCTCCAACTTTTTTTGTGGATGGTGTTCGGCGTTTGGCGTCTGTAACAAATCGCAACTAGTGACGTTTTTCATGTTATACTTTGTTTTAGAATATATAATTTAGAACATATAATTAGAGGACTTTAAGTCATATGAAATAATTGATCACGGTCATGATCACCGTCTTTTCCATTACTAGGTGAGTTCCGACACATCGAGTACTGGTACTGAATGCTCTGTGTTTTCCTCAATAAGCGCCCCTGCCCTGAGTTCGTACAATAGAGTGTGGGAATGTACGCTAGAGTGCGCTTCAACCAGTGCAACTTCCGCTTAACAACGGAATATTAAACCGATGTATTACGTAAAATGTAGAATAAAATAAGATTCACACATACATGTAGCTAGGTAAGGTGTGTCCGATTCCAGCCAATCCGAACAGTAGAGTATTCGAATAATAAACAGTGTGTGAAATATCAATGACGCATTTGTTATGTTCAGTTGTGTTGTGTACAGTTGATTGAGATTGAAATTGAGTTTTCCAATATTTGACCCTTGCAAAAAGTTTCATAGAAAATGTGTTCTTTTAAGAATGTTGTATCTTTTAGGTGACTTTATAGAAAATATTTTGCAATGTGTGAAAATAATTTAGGCCCAAGACTTAATGCATTGTGGCTGCTTCATTCCTCTCAGATGTTGTTTCCTAAACTTTGCATTCCCCATGCGGGGTCATGCAGATTTGGAAACAGCATCTTCGTGGAATGGTTCAGCGTTGATTTTATGATAGTTTGTAGTCTTAGGTTCATATTTAATGATGTACTACAAATGACAATCAGTGATGAAGTAAGAACATAGATGAACGTTCGACTGTATTATTTCAATACAATCTCGGTCTATGATTTTGCCTTGTAACCACAAAACGATGGAATATCAATCGAAATGGGGAAATTGAAAACTTGGGGGTAGGGGAGAGTAAAAAAAAATTATCTAAAATTTGGAGAAAGTTATCATAATGATTCTGATACCAGAGTTTGCACAAAGATTGAGAAACATGCAAAGACATTTTCATAAGGTTTATTGAGTAGTTTTTGAAAAAAGTTTTTCTCATGAAGAATCGCGAATATTTGGCAATTAACTGTATTTACGCAAAGAAAAGAAGTACTATCGAAAAAATCGAAGGGGCAATTTGACCCCCCCCCCTGGAGACATTAGGTTTAACATACACTAGGGGTCTAATTGAAAATTAACAGTTATCAACTTATCAGGCCTATTTTGGGAACAAATAAATTGTTATTTATACAGCATAAATTGAATTTTATTCCGAATGATGCATATATCTTACTTATCTCACTTACCAGGTACATATTTATACATTTGAACAGACCTGACATCTATTTTGTACAACTACATGTGCTACATGCGAGTGATTTCTGTCATGCGCAGTGCAGTTACAAAATTTTGATTCACCCAAAACCTCCCATCCTTGTACTTTTTGCTTAAAATATGTGCAACACATGGGGGCGGTTATCAGATTAATAATTTTATATGTATTTGATAATTTGCAATGTTTATACTTTTTACTTAAATAAACCGTTAAGCCCAAATTATTGTTGTTCAGTTATACTGTTGCAGAATTAAGAGTAAAGATCTCTTTTTGGCTAGGAACATTAGCAAAGTATTAATATGAGTCTTGAAGGACATTGAAAAAACAAGTTATTTAATGCGTGGGCCCAATCAAGCACCATACTGATTTTCTTTAGTACAAATAAGAACTCGGAATAGATTTCCATGTACAGACACATTTTTCAAAACCACCTTTTAGTGTTTGTGCTTAGTCTCAGTTTTTCTTACTTATATGTCTCATGATACTTCTAATATTCTATTTTGTCTGAAAATAATTTTAGAATACATTGAAAATCCCAACTCATACGTGATATCTGACATCTGGCATCGAGAACAATATAATGTCAATCGGTACTATAATTTGAAGCATGGCTAAACTAACTGCTTGTTCCAGTTTATCTTTATTAATCAGAATCCCTCTAAAGATTTATTTATCCCATTTCAGAAACAATTGGGAAGGTGATTTCTGCACTCCCTGCAAAAACATATATCGAAATCCATGTGTTTTCGAAAAAATATTGAAGTAAAATATAAACGTGCTTTTGGCCCACCCTGGTTAAGTCCAAGCATATACAGACTCATAATGACATAAAAAGCATTCTCTGGAAGAAAGCTGTAGACTCATATATACAAACAAAGTTATGTTCTCAAAGATAGCTTTGATACATCATCATATCTCTTGGTAATTGATTTAGTCTGCATAAGTACCTTACTAGTAAGTCTACGCACATGTATACTACATTAGTCTATGTTCATGCCGCACTCCTCGAGGCATTGTTTGATATAGTCATCGTAATTGTGCGGGGAGCTTGAGATGAATGATTTGGCTTCCTCCTTCGCTTCCTCCTTCGCTTGCTGAACGGCATCGAGTACACTTGGATCTTGCGACTGACATGTTTTGCCCAACTATGAGTAGCTTTGATCAAACCTTTTACAGCCTTGGAGTACTTCTTCCATGCGGGTATTGCGCTGTTCTGTAAGGATATAGAAAATCATATTGCAAGATCTTACAACATTTTTTTCAATATTTCAATCATATCGTAACAATGGGCTGCGTTCGGCGAGGGACGTCCTAAAACGATACTAAAATGAGTGGATCAAAAGCAGAATACCTACTGTGCAGTTTGTTAAACGTCGAAAAATCGTATTTTATGTCCGTCCGTCTGTTGCATGAAATGGTAACTGACAATGGATGGACGTAATGTGGCCGATTTAGGTATCTTATAACCAAAAGTGCATATCCATATCTCTATCAGGAGAGCTCTCAAGACAACTGATAAAAATATTCTAAACAGCCTTGGTGAAACTTGATGTGATGTCCTTGGTCTGTACATGTACACAACTAAATAAAATAACGCTTGTGTGGCAAACGTAAGGGTGTGGTCCTATTATATAATTATAAGTTAGAAATTATCCCGTCTAGTTTTTAAGGGAAGTGGCGAAATGATGCACTGCAAAGAGTGTACTAAATCCGATGCCCTTTGCGGAATTTGAAACCCAGGATCAACAGACCCAGAGCCTGGTGATGTACCAGCTGAGATTTATGGGGTTAATGAATAAATTATAACTTTACCTTATATCGCTGAATGGCATCGTCGTAGTCATCGATGGCATCTTTAAATGCATGTCTGGCTAGATTGAATTCTGCACAAACAAACAGGTAATCTGCTCCTCTCTCCAACATCATAGTCTCCTCTTGTGCAGCCATATCTTTCTTCAGTCTATCCACACACTCGACTCCATATGACTTTATCTCCCCAAGCTTTGACTGATCCGTCTCTAGATTGAGCACTTTTATGCATATATACAAGAGTTTTCTCCTACATTTACAGCTGTGATGGGGATCATCTTTTCCTCACTTCATTATACCATGCTGGAACCATTTCCTATCAACAGCTTCTTCAAGAAGTTCTTCGTATTTTTTCTTCCCTTTGTATAGATCATTTAGCTTGCGAAGCGGCTGCTTTGCGTTGCCGTCATCATCTAAATCTTCTGAGTAGACGTGCAGCAGAATATTGCGTTTGGTGAGAATGGTATGGAGCACGTGGACATCAGTTTTTTCGGTAATAACTTGACATACAGCATGTGACAAATTTATGGCTGATTTGATCTTCTTTATGCGTTTTTCATCCTTGATGTTCTTGAATTTGTCTGCATTTTTCAAGTATAATCTTCCGTACTCATAAAGAACAGAGGCAAAAAGTTCCGGAAGGTACATTCGTTTCAATTCCTCCTCCGGAAGGGCAACGCCGTGCTTAACTAGTTTGTGATACGTATTAACGTCCACTAGAAATTGGGAACCACGCTCTGGGAATTTGATGTCTCCAGCAATACGTCTCAGTTGCTCAACGTCGGTTTTATTTAGAACCAACCCAACAACGAAGTTGGACAGGACGTTCACATCTTCATTCTGAGTTACCAAGTTATGTAATTTCCGGTAAATGTCTTGAGCAGTAGCCACAATATCTGATTCACTTTGTACAGATATGTCATTTTCGTCAATGAGTTCAAAGAATAGATCTACCGCTCGTTCTAATTTTTTCTCGGATTGTTCCTCTCGTTCGGTTTTTGCGTAGACATTTCCAAGTACATCCAAGAGGCCAATTTCCATCAAAGAGAGATAAGGACGTTGCATTTCAGTTGGATCATCGTGCCTTAGCTGTTCTACACGGTCCAAAGCTTCTTCCACGTGAGGTAAAAGTGCCGCGTTTGTCTTGAAATACGCCATGAATCCCGTATCCTTAGCAAAGCAACTTAGTAAAGCTTTGAACAGTTTTTCAAGGGGTTCATTTCGAGAGTCAACATCAATTTGCATTCGAGTGGCTAACTTAACTAAATCATGACTGTCCAAAAATCGGTCAGAATCCTCTTTGAATATGGTTACAAACCAACGAATTTGCATTTTATCAATCAATTGATTAATGTATTGCTCCAGTTTTTCCTCGGGTAACGGTGTCTTTTGGTCTAAAATTAAAGAGAGTAGGTTAACAAGAAAGGAAACTGGTATCGCGTTCGAATTCATATAGGCCATCGACTTAAATACAAGACATAGTCCCCTTGCAACATGAACTTTATCATCGCTAAATTCCTCTTCTATTTCTTTCATCATGCTTCTCACACTTTGGACGTGGGCTTTCACGAATCCACGTTTGTTGTAATCTGATCCAAGTGCGTTTTGTGTTCTCTGTTCTATCATAGGATTGATATCTACATCATTTACGGCTTTCAGATATTGTTCGATTGTCGTTTTCTGTTTGTTTATATCGTATTCTGCACACACGAGGGCACATGGCAATCGACCCATTTCGTTCCAAAGTTTTACTTTACTTCTTGTTTCAGTTTCTAGCTCACGTAAAAGTTCAAGCATTTCTTCTTGGCTGAAACCTTCAATTTTTAGGCTGTTTTCATTACCATGTTGGACTGTTTGGGTTGTTATGATAACAGTTATATTATCAGCCAATCGCGTGTCGAAATGTTCTTGAATTATTTTTTGGGTCGCAGGTGACACATCATCGAATATTATAAAGAACTTCCTGTCAGATTCCCGTTTCATTTCTTCGCATATATCCTCCAGTAGCAACGTTACGTCGGGATCAACACGTTGAAACCTTCTACTGCATTTTGCTAACGCATTGCGGATATTCTCTTCTGTTCCACTGTGGATTAACCATCCGCATTCATATTTTTGTCGATTATCTTCCCAGTAACGTTTCGCAATTTCAGTTTTTCCACTTCCACTTAGTCCTAAAATATTAAGCATAGAGATTCTCAGACAACACGCCACTTTTCAGTGATTTTCTTCCCTTTTAAACTTAAAGATACTTTATGCTACATGTTACTCTCTCGGACAATAGGTGATTTCACATCATACTTGCTTATATACTGTATAAGTGGTAATTTTGCCTAATCATTTAATTTGCCTATTGCCTAATTTTTAACAGGCTCGGAAAATTAAATGTCGGAAATATTGCCTTCATAATGTTATCCAATGGGAAGTTTCTTGTCATTAGGAAAATTAAAATTAGGAAATTGATGAAATTTGACCATTTGGCAAATTAACCACTCGGATTAAATACCACTTATACAGTAATATCTTACATGCCTAAGATAGTGCAGTATATTGAGACCAACCCATGGGTAGAGTATTGTCGATATATTGAGAATTGAATACGGTCAGAATTGAACATAATCGAATTCGTAGTAAAGTCAAGTAACTTGCAAACCAGTTATGAGCGATACTTCTCATTCCGTTGAAATGTAATTTTTCCAAAAGAATCTCACGGTTAACAGTGTCAAAGGCTTTCGATAAGTCTATAAATATTGAAATATTAAAATTGAAATCAATAAGTAATGAACGAAGTGATTCCAGAAAGTTCAAAAGTGCCATGAAGATTGATCTGTTTTTTCTAATACCAAATTGTTGTTCACAAACGATTTTAAACTTTTCCAAATAATCAACAATTCTGTTGGCCATAACTTTTTCTAAAATTTTAGGAAAAGGACAAAAGCGAAATTGGGCGATGATTGTTAAATTGATCTTCATCTTCTTTTTATATATGGGTGCGATTTTTGCATGTTTTAGTTTATATGGAAAAACTCCAGTTCTCAATGATAAGTTACAAATATAGGTCAAGGGGAGTATTAACATATCTTTAACATGTTAACTATTGGTTTTATTTGATTTTCACCAGCAGCCTTGTCTTCTAAGTTAGTCAAAATCTTATTCATTTCATCAGAATCTACATTGGATAAAAATATTCTTGAATTTTATTCAAATAAAACGAAGGATTGTTTTAAGAATTTGGAATTTCGTTGTCAATACTTGAACCAATATTCGCAGAAGTACTCGAAGGCAAAAACCGCTTTTACAAACTGGCTTCTTACGTACTACAGAAGCCGGCTTCTGGAGTCACCAAGAAGCCGGCTTTTAAAAGCCGGCTTCTGAAGGACAACAGAAGCCGGCTTCTGGAGTCACCAAGAAGCCGGCTTTTACAAACTGGCTTCTTACGTACTACAGAAGCCGGCTTCTACAGTCAACAAAAAGCCGGCTTTTAAAAACCGGCTTCTGAAGGACAACAGAAGCCGGCTTCTGGAGTCACCAAGAAACCGGCTTTTAAAACTGGCTTCTTACTTACTCACGTACTGCGGAAGATGGCTTTTAAATAGTTTATATTGTCATATTTTTGCAAAACTATACGGGTAAATTGAATTCTAAGCATGGATATCGATGAATTTGATCACGTTCATCAATTCCAAAAATATTATGCATTGTATTATTTTTTTAATAAAAACGCACCGCTCATTTTTCAAAACTGGCTCCAATTTGGAGCCAGTTTTCAAATCAGCTCGCACCATTAAACACAAGCTATTAACGGACAACCTAGCCACTGGGAATCACGAGATACTGTCTCCCGATCATTTTGATGTGGATTATGCATCTTATTCTCGTATAATCTGCATGAAAATAAGGAAAAACTGAAAAATATGTAAAATTATAACATAATTCAAGATTTTTTGCAAAAAGTCATTTCAAGTCAAAACTATAAGAGAAAATTGAAGTCTAAGTAAAAATATCGATGAATTAGATCATGTTTACTAAATCAGAACAGATTATGCATTGCATTTCCGTTTTATAAAAACGCACCGCTCATTTTTCAAAACTGGCTCCAACTTGGAGCCAGTTTACAAATCAGCTCGCTCCATCTTACACAAGCTATGTAGGGACAACCTAGCAACTGTGAATCACGGGATACTGTCTCACGATCATTTCTATGTGCATTATGCATCTTATTCTCGTATAATTGGCCTGAAAATGAGAAAAAACTGAAAAATACGTTAAATTGTAACTTATTTCAAGATTTTTGGCAAAAAGTCATTTCAAGTCAAAACTATGAGAGAAAATTCATTTCTAAGTAAAAATATCGATGAATTAGATCTCGTTCACTAAATCAGAATAGATTATGCATCGCATTTCCGTTTAATAAAAACGCACCGCTCATTTTTCAAAACTGGCTCCAACTTGTAGCCAGTTTACAAATCAGCTCGCTCCATCTTACACAAGCTATGTAGGGGCAATCTAGCAAGTGGGAATCACGAGATACTGTCTAACGATTATTTTTATGTGAATTATGCATCTTATTCTCGTATAATTGGCCTGAAAATGAGTAAAAACTGAAAAATAGGTTAAATTGTAACTTATTTCAAGATTTTTTGCAAAAAGTAATTTCAAGCCAAAACTATGAGAGAAAATTCATTTCTAAGTAAAAATATCGATGAATTAGATCACGTTCACTAAATCAGAATAGATTATGCATTGCATTTCCGTTTAATAAAAACGCACCGCTCATTTTTTTAATGAAAAATTGAATTCGAAGCACAGATATCGATGAATAAGATCACATTTATTTAATCAGAATAGATTATGCATTGCATTTCCGTTTAATAAAAACGTATCGCTCATTTTTCAAAACTGGCTCCAACTTGGAGCCAGTTTTCAAATCAGCTCGCTCCATGTTACACAAACTATGTAGGGACAATCTAGCAACTTGGAATCACGGGATACTGTCTCACGATCATTTCTATGTGCATTATGCATCTTATTCTCGTATAATTTGCATGAAAATGAGAAGAAACTGAAAAATACTTAAAATTGTTACTTATTTCAAGATTTTTTGCAAAAAGTCATTTCAAGCCAAACCTATGAGAGAAAATTCATTTCCAAGTAAAAATATCGATGAATTAGATCACGTTCACTAAATCAGAACAGATTATGCATTGCATTTCCGTTTAATAAAAACGCACCGCTCATTTTTCAAAACTGGCTCCAACTTGGAGCCAGTTTACAAATCAGTTCGCTCTATCTTACACAAGCTATGTAGGGACAATCTAGCAACTGTGAATCACGGGATACTGTCTCACGATCATTTCTATGTGCATTATGCATCTTATTCTCGTATAATTTGCATGAAAATGAGAAAAAACTGAAAAATACGTTAAATTGTAACTTATTTCAAGATTTTTGGCAAAAAGTCATTTCAAGCCAAAACTATGAGAGAAAATTCATTTCTAAGTAAAAATATCGATGAATTAGAGCTCGTTCACTAAATCAGAACAGATTATGCATCGCATTTCCGTTTTATAAAAACGCACCGCTCATTTTTCAAAACTGGCTCCAACTTGGAGCCAGTTTACAAATCAGCTCGCTCCATCTTACACAAGCTATGTAGGGACAACCTAGCAACTGTGAATCACGGGATACTGTCTCACGATCATTTCTATGTGCATTATGCATCTTATTCTCGTATAATTGGCCTGAAAATGAGTAAAAACTGAAAAATAGGTTAAATTGTAACTTATTTCAAGATTTTTTGCAAAAAGTAATTTCAAGCCAAAACTATGAGAGAAAATTCTTTTCTAAGTAAAAATATCGATGAATTAGATCACGTTCACTAAATCAGAATAGATAATGCATTGCATTTCCGTTTAATAAAAACGCACCGCTCATTTTTTTTAATGAAAAATTGAATTCGAAGCACAGATATCGATGAATAAGATCACATTTATTAAATCAGAATAGATTATGCATTGCATTTCCGTTAAATAAAAACGTATCGCTCATTTTTCAAAACTGGCTCAAACTTGGAGCCAGTTTTCAAATCAGCTCGTTCCATGTTACACAAACTATGTAGGGACAATCTACCCAGCTAACAATTTTACGTTGTGATAACGTCGTCAGAATATATGTCTCAAGTTGTAGCAACGTTAAATATGGAACGTTGTAGGTACAGGAAGGTGTGGACTCGCACAGATGTTTAAAGAACGTTACATTTGACTTAAATATCACGTGTCAGGAACGTAGTAGCGACCTTAACAATTACGTCGCCAAAATAACGAAACTGTAACGTACTTACATTACGTCATATATACGTGGCCAATCTAAATTTCTGGTAACGTTGATATGGAACGTTGTAGGTACAGGAAGGTGTGGACTCGCATAGATGTTTAAAGAACGTTACATTTGACTTAAATATCACGTGTCAGGAACGTAGTAGCGACCTTAACAATTACGTCACCAAAATAACGAAAATGTAACGTACTTACATTACGTCATAAATACGTGGCCAATCTAAATTTCTGGTAACGTTGATATGGAACGTTGTAGGTACAGGAAGGTGTGGACTCGCACATATGTTTAAAGAACGTTACATTTGACTTACATATCACGTGTCAGGAACGTAGTAGCGACCTTATCAATAACGTTGCCAAAATAACGAAACTGTAACGTACTTACATTACGTCATATATACGTGGCCAATCTAAATTTCTGGTAACGTTGATATGGAACGTTGTAGGTACAGGAAGGTGTGGACTCGCATAGATGTTTAAAGAACGTTACATTTGACTTAAATATCACGTGTCAGGAACGTAGTAGCGACCTTAACAATTACGTCACCAAAATAACGAAAATGTAACGTACTTACATTACGTCATAAATACGTGGCCAATCTAAATTTCTGGTAACGTTGATATGGAACGTTGTAGGTACAGGAAGGTGTGGACTCGCACAGATGTTTAAAGAACGTTACATTTGACTTAAATATCACGTGCCAGGAACGTAGAACCAACCTAAACGATGACTTCGCCAAAATAACGAAAATGTAACGTACTAACATTACGTCATAAATACGTGGCCAATCTAAATTTCTGGTAACGTTGATATGGAACGTTGTAGGTACAGGAAGGTG